TAATGTGCCTTTTCAAAACATCAGGAGACAACTAAAAGTACTTTTTTCTTCTCTATACTCAACATTGATGTATTGCATCAAAACTTTGTCTGATGTTACCTTATCCCAGTTAACGTTTCAAAAGCACGTTACAATAAGATTAGCGAGTATTTATTTCTATATAGATAAGAAGAAAGCAAATGATAAGCGCAATAAATTATATAACCTTATATTACGTTATATCTATGTATAAATAATAAAACTTAAATCTTTCCTATCCAAAGATTCTATCATAAACACCGCTTCCCAACCGAACAGAAGAAAGAAACACACCTGGATTTTGGAACAGGTCATTCCGACTTGTGATATAAAAGAACTGATCATCAAGTTCTATTAAAAAGCCTAGGTACTTGATCGACAATTCTTTTCAAAACAAAAACATAAATGTACCGTCCAAATGATCTGATAACTAACTATACGAGCGGTTAGTGTGCTTTCTTTCATGACTCAAGCATAGTACCATAATCTCGTTTCATTTATCAGCAATAATAATGATCATAAAAGCACTATTAAAATCGATAAATTTTATGCTTTATGCATGAAGAATGAACGCACGTCATTTATACCTGTAATTTTAAATGTACTGTAATTTTTATTTTAATCTTTTATTAAGAGACTTAAGCAACAATATTTATGATTGTTAGAGATTTATGATGATATATTTTAATATTATGTTTTGTTCTACTTCTATAAAAGGTTTACAGAAAGTCGAACAACATTTCACTATTTTATCTCCCAAAATAAAAACAAAACAACAACTGACGGTATGACAGGTTTAAATTCATTATTTGTTGTTCTTCTTCTTGCTCTGTTAGCTTGCGTTCATACAAATGTTGTTCTTGAGCAATTGCCAACGGCTGCAGATGAAGAAGTTAGTGATGCAGATTTAGTTAAACTATTTGGAAATAATCGAAAATTATCTGACTGTACAAACTGGCACAAAAAAGAACCAGATCCAAGTGCAATATTAATGCAAGTACGAAAATCGCCCTGTCGCTGTCCTCCGTCATTCCCGAAATCCTTTCATGATGGTACTGATGAATGGACAACTGATCCTGGTTGTGATGCTTCTAAACAGCCAAATACATGTTCGTATCATATTGGTGCCCATGGGTGTTATCGTCACACATATACATCCAAAGGTCCCGGAACTCAGGCTTGCTATGACAAAAACGGTGATTGGATTGCTGATCCACGCAAAGGTGCTGGTACTTTGGACAAATACAATGCTGTTAATCAAAATCTTTTTCATCTGCTCAATCATTATAACCATGATGTTGTTCCATGGAATAATTGTTGCGACGACGCATCGTTACCAGAAAACATATGTGACCTTTATTATGAAAAACGACCACCTGGTGAGTGCCAACATTATCGGTTTTGAACATAAACCAAGAGTATGATACAAGAAAACATACAAGTACATTCTTCACGTATTAGTTGCTTTATTCTTCACATTGAAAAAAGCTTGTCGAGTTTTTTTTGAATAATTAAGAATATTGCTTAATTCTACGAAATAAATTATTTGAAACATGTCTAGTACTGGTCTCAAGTTCAACATTCTTCCTTCCCAAAATTCCAACTTTCTTGTGGCACGATGTCCCACATCTAACGGTCATCAATATTTCTTGATTTTTCTTTCTTTATTCGTTCTTTTTCGTTTTTCAAAATTAATTTCTATCCGATTATAGTCTATTCGTAGAATATCCTGTTGATCACGACTGTTACCTTTAAAGTTTAAAACAGTCGCATTTTCAGGGACAAAACTGATTTTTACTATAACGTGGTTTCATCCCACCGTCCATTGATTTTACCTTGCTTATAACCTAAAGAAAAGTGTTTCATATGTGTAAAATCGCTCGATCTTTTGGATTATGCCAAAATAAAGTGTTTCAATTGTCAAATTATCCAGTTTCATAGAAAGTATAGAAACAGGATTTCAAGCAAAACTACGTTAGAAACACTAACTGGGTATATATAAAGATTGTTTGGTGGGTTAAATATCTCTTGAGCAATAAAAATGAACATCAAAACAACTCTCGTAAGGATAGCTGTTTTGAAGTTCACTTTTGTTAAAATATATTAAATACTTACAATTCGATGTTTCGAAAGTAAATTCACACGATGTCAAGCAAATATCTTGTGTATGAAACTACTTTTCGAGCACACTCTCATACTGCTCTCACATCTCCCTGCGCAACGGCTGCAACACACTGCCATAAATACCCAAATTTGGAGTATGAAAAGTTTGTGGAAGAGTCATTCGTGGAAGGGTTTTGTTACCTCGTAAGTCTATGTAGTACCAAAGAAGTCAGTATTGGTGTGGTGGCATCCGTGACTCTTCATTCAAGAATAGATAGGTCCAAGTGTCCTGTTTGGAATAATAATCTTCCGATTTCTACATTTGCACCTCGTATTGGATTTCTGATGTGCCTCATAACTGATATAAGATCAAAAGTACGAACTCTAAAATTAATGCAAATCGAGTGTTAATAATCTCCTAGTACTTCTGAAATTTCTCTTTACGACGATCTAAGGCATTTTCTTTCGTATATCGAAGGGTACCAAAGTATACAGGTATTTAAAATATTTAGAGTATGTTTTGAACGAATGATTAATTTCAAGAGCTACTCAGGTAAGAACTATGACTTACCTTTTTATGTGTATATATGTAAATATTTCTCTTCTAATTTATATGCATTCACGTAGTTTGATAAAACGTGCGTTTTTTGACGACGAGGGCAAGTGACACCAGTTTCCTTGTGAACATAAGAAGTCCGCAGAAGTAGCAACTGAGTTGAATCAAGAGAAAATGAATGTCATTATAAATGAATCTGACTAAATATAAACAATAGGAAGTTGAGCAAGAGAAACTTCTTCTTTCTCTCTAACTAAAACATTTTTTATTTTGAAAAGGATTTAAAGAAAATGAGTTTTCAGTCTTGCGGGGCAAACTTTTCTGTTACTCCTAGTCCATAAGCTAAAGCCCGTGAGTAAATATTGTTGTTCCGAACCCGTCTGTCCCGTGAAAAAGCTTTACGAAATCTTTGTGCCGTCATTTTTGGATAAATTTTTCTGTTGAGATAAACTGTAACTGTTATAAGGGACACTTTAAGTCCCAAACTTATTTTCGCGTGACAAATTTTAAGCTTAATTTATTTGATCCTAAACTTTGCATAAAAAAATGTTTTACATCTACTTACTACCTCAAATCGAAAGGAAAGAACTGTAAAACGAGTTTTAGGTATGCAACATCTTCTGATGTTTAAATCGCGACTATTTCGCTTCTCCAGGTTAATTTTTATTAGTTATTATAAAATTACGGGTTTCATTCGATAGTATTACAAGAATTAAACATTCAAAGTTGCAGCATAATTACAATCAAAAGGCACAACGTCAAATCAAGTTTGACAGTTCTAGTTAAAATCTTTAATTTTTTTGAAAGAAGTTTTGACGAATTTTGAACATATGGCAGTTCGAGTATAAGTCGATTAGAGTTTTTATTTATTCATGGGTAGGTATAGAAATTGAAATGGGTTCGTGTGATTCACTGTTTTTTTCTTCTATCGTTCTTTTCTTCTACTAATTTGTATTTTTTTAATGCTGATTATATATAATAAACTGACCACTACGGGTACTACTTTACTTTTACTAATTATTACATCATCCGGTAAAAGTAATAAACGTTTATTACTTATTACCGGTTAAAAAGTAATAAATCTTGTTGTTTTATTACTTATTACTTCTTTATGTAATATTTTTCATCATTTTACTTATTGCTTTTATTACTTTTCTTCTTATCAATAATAAGTAAAGTAATAAAAGATTATTACTTGAAAAAAGTAATAAGCAGTACAGGACTGAACCTCTAGTTTTGATTTCTGTGTACGAATAAACAAATATTAATGGATACATGTTCGTTTTCACATATTAGTATGAAAGATCGGTTATTGAAACGGGCAAAGGGTGTGGAAAGAACGTGGGATCATTTAAAAATTCAATTTGGTCGCGGTGGTCCCGCACCAGATGAAGTAGCTATGGTTTTTTTATTGCTGCACGGTTAAAGGAGAAAATCCGTATTTTTACAAAAACTCATTTTCTGGACTTGCATGAATAGTGGGACCAAAATAAGTATTGCCATGACGTTCAGGATGGTGTTTTACCCGTTCTATATCATCAAACACAGTGCAAGCGTCGAAAGCTACAAGAACATAGTTTGGTTTTAGAAGAAAGTGTTCCAGACGTTGTCGGAAGTACGACTTTTCATTAATTGTTGCGGATTTTGAATTTCTTTTGTAAAAACAGCGAAACGTCTCGTATTTCATTTAATATGGATTTTGACTAGACTTTCAAGCTTTCTTATAAAAAAATGCATTTCCGCGAGACTCAGAATAGTCGATAACTTATGTTTCCATCCATTTCTAAGACTGCAATTCGGGATACCAGTTCTAAAACTGTCTAAACAGTGGAAAATAAGATGGTCGGAGACAGCACTGTGAGCTATCTACTGCTGAAAGAAATCCAGGAGATTTGTATTTTACACTTTTGAGCAGTGCTCTGGCCTTTCGAAGCTCTCCCATAAAGAGCCTACACCAGTGGACCATTTACAAAAAGTTTCCGTTGGAATCGCGGGACTTGGGTTGGAGATCTAAAATCTTGGTTTTACAAGTTTTACCGTGAAATGTAGTGAAGAAAAAACAATTGTAATTCGACGACAAAATATTGTTGAATAATTCTAATATAAACGAAAAAAACTCATGACTGTATATAAAGTTTTGTATGTGTTAGAGAGCTTTTAAAAGAAATCCAGAAGGAAAAGAGTTTTACTAACGAAAAAACTGTCCTAAGGTAGTGTGTCGACAATGAACAAAATTTCTTCTTCGTTTTTCGATATTCAGCAGGATAGAGCTCATTGAGTGACATAAGAAGATGTCGCTTTTAGCTTTTTCGAAACGCTTTTTCATATGTAGATATATATTAAGGATTATTATATCATATTAGTAAAAGCAATTGGTAGCGCCGAAAGTCATTATTTAGTGTATAGGAAGAGCAGAGCTATCCTTGGAAGTGTTCTGTGCAAAGGAGTAGGCTAGAGTAACATCTGTCCCGGTAAGCACTTGATATTTTTTTTAGAGAAAAATTAAAAATAAATGTGAATCTATAATTTTGGGCAATACTGTAGAATACTAATACAACAAGAAATATAAACGCTATGTTTGCTTTGACAGTGTTCGCCTAACATAAAATGTTTAAACTATTCTTGTATGTTGTGATTCTAAGTGGAGACAGTTTTGTGCTAAAATTTGAGGGGACAATGGTATAGTACAATTCATGATAAGGTCAGAGTCTTATCAGGTATATTTGTGCAATAAACTAACGGCTCATTTTGAATGGCTGTGTTGACCAACTCCAACCAATTTGATCCTCTACACCACATGATTGTAAATGGTTCTTCTTCAGAATTTGATTGAATTGTGCAATCTTGAATATTCAACTTGTCATATACTTCTTTAAATTTACAGGGTGATGCTGTTGCAAGACAAACACGTCTAATTTCAAAATATTAAATATTAAAATAATAGAAGATCATTATCTTTCAACTACTTTTTATCTTTCTCACTTTTTTTGAGGATGATCATCGTTGATTAGAGCGTAATGAACTGCAGTTGCCGTATGAGGACAAATAAGATATGAATATTTTTGATAACATAACTGAATAGTTTGTTCAATATCATTATCATTTGCCACACAGGTGGAGATGGTTTGTGTTAGCTAAAATATTTAAATATAATTTTAGACGCAAGATACCAGTTATACATACGAGATCGTGCATGTTTTTTGATAATCTAAGGGTATGTGTTGTTTCAAATTCGTTCATAACTTGTTTTACATATTTAACATCTCCATTTGAGATAAAATATAATATACGCTCGACATTGTACGGTATCTAAAGTTATTTACAAAATATGAAATAAATTCTGTCCAAAAAAAAAAAAGAAGAATTTGTAACATACACAAATATCCATTGCATTTGCCCATGTTTTAATTAGTGGTCGTTCAGTTAACACACCAGTTTGAACAAAATCGTGAACAACTGTATTAGCGTTAACTGCAGCTATCAATCGTATTGGAACACCCATTAAACGACATAAAATACCAGCTATAATTAAACAATTATAAATGAATAAATATAAAAAAATTTTCTACTATAATATATTTACAGGCTATACTGCCACATGCTCCCGTCGGAACAACTAATTCTACATTCTCATTTTCATCATCTGCTGTTTGTAAATAAATAAAAATATACATGGCTGCTTGAAACAAGATTCTAATCCAGTTAATAGAATTCATTGAACATAAATTATGTTTAGTAACTTGATTTTGATCCATTAGAACTTGTTTGAGTACAATATCGATATCATCACTTGTACCTTCAACTATAAATTAAAGATATTAATTCACATTATGAACGATACATATATAAATAAATTACATACCTGGAAAGACTAACAAATTATTTCCTTTGATAGTTGTCATTTGTCGTCGTTGAAAATCATTTACGTTTAGAAATGGATACGCAACAATCATATCGATATTTTTTAATCCACGACAACTTTGTAAACAAGCACTTCCCGTATCACCAGATGTACCTATCAAAAGATGTAGAGTTGATATTTAATATTTTTTGAATTTAATATATTTTACCTATTAGTACTGTTGCATATTTATTCTGTTTTTTCATATGTTTATCGATTAATCTGGCACATGGACTTAATGCAATATCTTTAAATGAATAAGATGGTCCACGAAAAAGTTCGGCAATCACTAGTGAATTATTTAATTTTTGAAATGAAATAACCTGTTTAGAATCAACAAATTGACCATAACTCTCTGTAATTAATGTTTGTAATTCATCATGTGAAAATTCATTGTTATTAATAAATAATTTAGCTACTTCAAATGCAATATAAGTAAATGGTTGTAATTTCCATTGTTTTAGACATTCACTCGATAATTGAGGAATAGTTTCCGGTACAAATAAACCACCATCTGAACAATAACCAGATAATAATACGTCTGTAAAAGAGCTATTTTCTAAACCACCACGAGTACTTCGATATTTCATTTACTCTTCTTTTTTTTCTTTTGTATTTGTTATCAAACAGAATAAATAAAAGAAATAAGTGAATGAAAAAAAACGAGTTGTTAATAAGAAAATTATTACGATAAACAGAAAACGCAAACAGTAAAGATAAAACAAGTGTTTTTTAATGCGCTGTTAACATCTGAGTAAATAGCAGAGATAAACTTACCATAATTGCATCCAATCAAAGAAACGTAAGTACACTTTTAATTAATGAATAGAATAATACGATTTTGCACCGAATGACTCAAAACACCGTGTATCTTATTGCTCAGAAAGTGAATTCATTTTGTCAGCAGTTATACTTAGAACCTTAGGGGAAACTGACAAAATTCGCATAGGTAAATTTATCATACCAATATTATTCAATTGCCTGAAAAAACGAATATGGAACTATTGTATAACAGAAAGAATATGTATGTATGTATTCTTTTCTGTATTATACTTGACTTAATTGATTTTTATATTTAATCGGTATTATTTGATGGTATGAAATTATTTTAGTCTGCAGCTATTGTTAAACGAAGAAGCTTAACCTTTGTTTTAGGAAAGTCTAAATAGAAGTATCAGAGTAGAATAAACTGTAAAAGAAAAGTATGTGTTTTTGATTGATTGATAAAAGCATAAGCTGTTGAAACTGAGCGGTTCATTATCTTAGAAGAAGTAATCAAATCAATTAGAGAAGATAACAAAGTTTCTGTATACATCTATGTAAAATGAAAGCCGTATAACAGCAGAATATAATAATAGTCATCGGAAAGAAGAAGACAGAAATAGCAATCGACCGACCGGAATAGATTTTGAAGCGTTCCCTAAGTTGATTAGTACGTTTCCAGCGAATTCTGAATAATTACTCATACATGCAGTTTGCTCATTGTTTACGGTTTTCGCAACAGTCATCGGCAAAAAATAGTGATGTACAAATATTGAATGAGAAAAAATAATACATCCTATAAATAAACATCATACATTGTTGGTCTAGTTTTGCTCCTTCATTCTGCAAATATGTAATAATGTGTGGCTCTCATATCTTTCTCTATTCCTTCTTACTCCGTTTTTTCTCTAGCAAATTTACTTGATATTAGCTTTGCACATACATAACAAGAGAACGTTGTAGATAAACTTCGTAATATCCTATCTGAATATCATGATCCGAAGAGAAAATCAGAAAGTTCTCTGAAAGTCCATCTGAAATTTCCATCGAAACTAACATTCTCGTATTGTGAGCAGCAATATTAGCAGTCGTATAACTCAAAAACTGAACGGTATCTTTTCCTAAAAAAAAGACTGGACCTGGAGTACAACTCGTAATGCTAACGAATTCCGGATATCTCTGAAAAATGTCTAACTAATTTTGTATGAAAAAAACAAAGATTAAACTTTTTTCTGAAAATTTCTCTTCTGACATAAATAAAATATTTATATTTTATGTTATTGTTTTCCGTATTCTTCGTTTAATAATAGATGCTGATTAAAACAATTTTGTAACATCAAATAATACCGGTTAAATATAAAAATCAGTTAAGTCAAGTAAAGTACAGAAAAGAATATATATCTATATACATATTCTTCCAGTTATACAACAGTTCTATATTCTTTTTTTCCAGACAGATTGAATAATATTGTTCTCAATTTTCTTTCCAATCTACCCAAAAAAAACTCGATCTGCAAAAATCTTTGCAGAATCTGTAAAGATTCTGCAATCTGCAGTTTTTCT